AGAACTGTTTGGAAGGGGGGGAGGGGGAATCCAGATAACTGGATTTACCAATAGTAAAGCAATAAAATTAATTAAGAGCAGCTACTGCTGGGAAGTGGAAAGTAGAAATTTAATATTATTTTCCTGAATAACTTATGCTAAGCACTCAATACAATGCCTAATGTATAGGCAGCACTCCGTAGATACTGTCAATCATTATTGTTATACGTTCCTGAGGACTACAATTCCCAAAATGCACTACTCCTCTTCCATTCTGCCTACAACTCCCAAAATGAACTGCTCCTCTTCCATCCAGCCCCTCTGCCTACTCATTACCATTCTGGGAAAAGTGGAGATGAGAGCTGGTGGGAAAAGGAGAATGGAGCCCCCAAGCCGGGAGAAGTAGCTGACCACACAATTCCCTTGATGGTGTAGACCGTAGATCCCTAAATTAGGAGATAGAGTGATTTTTTTTAAAAAATCATCCTGATTTTGTTCAGGCAAAGCCTTGGAGTACCACCATTAGTTGAATCCCCTGAATTGTCTGTTTATTTGTTTGCCTGTTCGATTTTACTTAGCTCTGTTTTGTGTTACAATTGATGTCAATTCCTCCATGATAATGGCATTAAGATGTGTGCTATGCAGCTTCCCTGGTGGCGCAGTGGTTGAGAGTCCGCCTGCCGATTCAGGGGACACGCGTTCATGCCCCGGTCCGGAAAGATCTCACATGCCACGGAGCGGCTGGGCCCGTGAGCCATGATCGCTGAGCCTGCGCGTCCGGAGCCTGTGCTCCGCAACGGGAGAGGCCACAACAGTGAGAGGCCCGCGTACCACAAAACAAAACAAACAAAAAAAAATGTCTGCTAGTTATCAGTGTTCCACGTGGTAATGAGTTTTAGCATTTTGCTGTTTTTATGGTTGTGTTAGTGAGAAGTTAGAGGAGGGGCTGCATGACTTCAGACTGGAAATGAGACCAAATTTCTGAGTGATTCTTTGAGTTATTTTACATTTAGAACAAGAAAGGCACCAAGTGTTGCATCAAAAGACATTACACAGTGTAAAATGTACATACGGTAGAGTCTTTCTCACACCTTAAAATTATACAAAGCATAGATTATTCAGGAAAAGAATAAAATGGCTCCAACTAAGAAGAGGCCAAGTCCCAAATTTTCAGGTAACCATATTTTATCTTAGGAACAATTTTGAGAGGTAATAAGAATGATATACATTACAATTTTAATGAGATGAATATTGCTATATCTATAAATTAAGTCAAATCATATGAAATTGTCATTTATGTAGATCAGAAAATAGTTACATATTGGCAATTTCAAATGGTTCATCCTAGAAGCTGGATTTTTCACCAAACATTTATTGAGCACTTACTATGTGCAGGACTCTGCTGTGGGGCTCATACTTTTGAGGAAGACCTAGCACTAGCTCTCCAAAAGGCAACTTTTCAGAGATCCCACTGAGCTACTCTCAGATAGAGGTGTGGCTGACAGTTCAACAGGCAAGATGGACACACGGAAAAGCTTTTGTGTTGTTTTTAATGTAGACATAACAATCTCGAAGCTCAAGGACACAACAAAAGGTGCTGACGTCAACAGCTACCGTACATCACAAGGAACAGCTGCAGTTGCTTTGGGGACACATCGCTAGCAGCTGTTTACTCTTGCATGACGTCACTGGATATGGGCCGCTTGTCGAGCAGCTACTGATGTGCCTGCCAGGAAGATTCACCTTCAACTGACAACAGTTTGGTTATAAAACCCACACCAAGAGCTGGTCTGATAAGAGACTATGATATCAAGTTACGCTGTGAAAAGCCACCATCATTAGCCGTTGCCAACGGAAACAACCACCGGCAGAAGAGAGACAATTCAGCTGGGAAGATGGGGCCTCCCCTTATCCTACTGTGACACACTGGAATGGGACATCCAGGAAAAGCAAAAAAATGTTCTTTTATGATACCTTTCACTCTGAAAAAAAAAAGAACAATTTGCCAAGGAAATCTATTGAGTTTGAAGACCCCCATTTTTTTTTTTAAAGCAAATCTGCTCTTATTCTTATTTTTTTTTAATGTTTGAATGTTTTGGCTATGTTGGGTCTTTGTTGCTGCACGTGGGCTTTCACTAGTTGCGGCGAGCCGGGACTACATTTCATTGCGATGCGCGGGCTTCAGTAGTTGTGGCTCTCGGGCTCTAGAGCGCAGGCTCAGTAGTTGTGGCGCACGGGCTTAGTGGCTCCGCGGCATGGGGGATCTTCCCGGACCAGGGATCAAACCCGTGTCCCCTGCACTGGCAGGCGGATTCTTTGTCACTGTCCCACCAGGGAAGTCCCGAAGGCCCCAAATTTTAAGGTGAAGGCTCAGATCAGCTACTGAGAGTTGAAGTGTAACCAGCCTTAGGATTCCCAAGGAAGACTGTGGCCAGACTGCATACAGTAAATGTTCACTCATTGATAGGAAGCTTGCATCTGATGTAAACCTTCTCAAGGAAAAGACAGGCATCTGGAAATGCTTGCATTTTCTCAGTGAGTTTGTGCATTTTAATTTACGCTTAATTGTGCTCTGTGTGGCAAAGGTCAACACACATCAAAAACCTTAAAAATGTTTAAATATCAAAGTGAGGTTGAGTAACCCATTGTGGTACAAGTAGGTGTAAAACAGATTAATTAAATACAATTAAGGAAATGTTATGGTAGTTTAAGCTAACTAAAAAGGAAGAGGAAATGCTCTCTATTCAACCATAAAATTATCAATGAAGAAAGTTTCATGAGCACCATCTGTTGAGATATTTAATATTAAACTAGATAAATAAGTCAAAAATATTTTGTCCTCTAATTAGACGAAGATTCCAAACTGAGTCACAGAAAATCCTGAGATAATACAATCATTACTTTTTTACTTGGGAACATGAGATCTTCAAAACTTGGAATTGTCATTAATTCATGGAGAGCTGCTATGAAGTCCCCTTCATAATTTGGGGATAAGAGAAGTGTTTTTTCTGATATCTCTCAAAAATAATCAAGGAAACCAGTGTGCTTCCACAAATCTCACAAAAAAATAAGAAGAAACCTCACTGAAATTGATCATGGCATTGATCATTGATGATTATAGATAACAGCTATAGATATATAGATATAGATATATACACACACATATACATATACATACATACACACAAACTATGTCTATGTCTGTCTATTTATCCACACATGTGATACAAAGATAAAGTAATAATTGGATCTATTACATAAAGTAATAATTGAATCTAACCAGATCTATTACATAAAGCAGCGTGCTTCCAAAAATGAATGGGTATAGGAAACCCTGTTTCTAATGGCCACAAATAATCTGACCTTCAAACTGAATTGACACAAGAGCAAAGAAGGCTCATCGGACTCATCATAACAGTCAATGTGACACAACTTGCAACCTAAATGTCCGTTGATAGGTGAATGGATGAAGAAGATGTGGTATATCTACCTATCATCTATCTATCTATCTACACAATGGACCGTTACTCAGCTTTAAAAAGAATGAAATCATGCCATTTGCAGCAATGTGGATGGACCTAGAGATCATCATACTAAGTGAAGTAAGTCAGATAAATACAAGTATCATATGATGTCACTTATATGTGGAATCTAAAAAAAAAAAGATACAAATGAACTTATTTACAAAGCAGAAATAGACTCACAGACATAGGAAACAAACTTACAGTTACCAAAGGGGAAAGGGAGGGGAGGGATAAATTAAGAGTTTGGGATTAACAGATGCACACTACTATATATAAAATAGATAAACAACAAGGACCTACTGTATAGCACAGGGAAATATATTCAATATCTTATAATAACCTATGATGGAAAAGGATCTGAAAAAAATGTGTTTGTGTCTGTGTGTGTGCGTGTGTATGTGATAACTAAATCACTGTGCTGTACACCTGAAACATTATAAATCAACTATACTTCAATAAAAAAATTACACATCCTATGACATAACATATATTAAAAAGGCATAACAATGTTACCTATTATTAATGGATTTTAGCCATTATTATAAAAACAATTGCACATCCCGCAGTTTGGGGCCACTGACCTCTGCCTGGTAACCCCATTTCTTAGGTGCTTTACCATCTGGAGGGAATACAGGCATGGGGATTCCAGGTGTCAGAAAGGTAGGTCCCTCTGGGGGCATCAATGTTCCTTTCCAATATTTCCAGTTCTTTCCTTCCAGGCAGTCCAAGAATTGTTCTTCCCTGCTCCGTGCAGTCCAGACGTGGTTGCATGACTTGCTTTGGCAGTTGTGAGTGTCGGTGGCATGTGTTACTTCGGAGGGAAACATTTAAGTCGCAGCAGGGAGACCCTCCAGTGCACTCGCTTTCCCTGTCTCACCAGTCGAAGAAATGCAGTGACTGCGGAGGTGACACCGAGCCACCGCACGGAGGAGGCCTGCAGTGGCCTTTGCACAACAAGAACTACAGCTCTGTTGCTTTAAGCCTCCGAGGTTTGAAGCCATCATGGCAGCGTTGCCAAGCCTATTCTGACCGATACAAACCCCAACTGTAGATTAACCAAATTTCAGGCTTTAAATCAATCTCCTTTAAGTGTAGTTAGGATAAATCAGTTTCCCAAGGCCTCATCAATCTTGGGGCAATTGACAACATGAAATGTCTAAATCTTTCAAGTTAAAGAACAGTACCTGAAACTGCAAAGACCCTGTTGGGGTCAAATCCCAGAAGTATCAGCCTTGTCTCGTTAACGTTCTTCAAGAAGATCAGGAAGGGGCTGCAGACCTCAGCTCAGGGAAGGCTCCTGACCACGAATGGAGGAGAATCCACACGCCTTCTGTCCACAGCAACTACACACAACACAAGGCAACATCACTGCAACCCCTGGTTGGCTCTGGGCAGAGTTTGGCCCCAGTCACAAAACTGGTTGACATCCAGGTTACCTTTGACAGCCTTTAAATAGCCCACAAAGTACAATGACTCAGCTTGGGTGTTTTTGTTTGTTTTGCATTTATTCACATACATCCCTGTGCACCAACTGTTGTGCAACTGGAAGTGTGAAAATCTGAGCTAAACCATAGGAAGGAAAAATGGGACTTGGATGTGCAAATGTCCAGCTATTAAATCATTTTGCCCTTAAAAAGCTACCAAACCCCTAACAATGGCAGGGAGACGGGGACACGAATACCTGCTAGTAGCTGGGTTTGTTGTTTCAAGGACTAACACCCCCAACCCAAGGCCAGATCATGCCGTGGCACAGAACTTGAAAACTTATGCTCCGTGAAGGAAGCCAGACATAAAAGACCCCCTATGTGTGAACCTTTATATGAAATGCCCAGAATACGGAAATCCATAGAGAAGAAAGCAGACGCGTGGTTTATGGTGAGAATGAGTGCTGGCTGGATTTGCATCTCAGCCTGACCCACATTCCTGGACCTCCCACTCCTCCGAGTCAGGATTTCCTGCTGTGGTCTCAGGGGCCACCTCTCCCTCCTGGGCCCCTGGTCACTGCTCCCCCAGATCTGGGGATGGAGTGTCGCATTACGTGAGGGCGAGGGTCTGAGTCCTTGCACAGACACAAGTGCGGTGCAGCTGTGGGGTTGCTTGCCAGTCTCTGCGCTCTTGGGAGAGTGCATCACAGGCTTAAATGAGAGGAGGAGAGTTTGGCCTTATTCTTGGCCTGAATTTCCTCACCTCATGAGCTGATTCTGCCAACGCCATTAATCTGTTCCTAAACCACGTGTTGGCCCACGGACGACGTTCATCTATCTTCACCCATGATACATTGTTCCTTCCTCTATTAAAACTATACTCTAATTGCGAAGGGGCTCTGCCTGGAAGCCCTCCATTGCTCCAAGTCTCTGCCTGCATCCTTAAGTTGGCAGGACTTGTCTGAACACAAGAAACACTTGGAACCTCAGAAAAGCCGAGCAGGTCTAACTGAGGCAGCAGAAAGGATACTGCTCTAAGTAAGCCATCGGAAGGTCCCCTGCGCAGAAGTGATTCTGCCTCCCCTGAAACATTGATGCCAGCCGTTAGCCCAGCGCAAGTGAAGTTCATGACCAGCGCATTCTGCTAGACTCATGCTGGCCGATCTGTTACCTACAAGCTCTGGAAATCAGCCTCCGGGTGAGAGGAGATGCTGCCTGTCTGCGGCTGGCTAGTTCACATCCACTTCCTACCCAGTCCCGCAAAACAGCATGGTGGCCTCCAGTGAGCCGATGGACGGACAGACAGAGGAAGGCCTGCCTGGGCTTGTGTCCAGCATTCTGGGGCTCAGGATGGGCAGGAAGTGGGTTTTCCCATCATTTCCCTGTATTTTATGTGATCTTCATCTCCCAGGAAGTGCCCCTGGGGCCCCAGGGACATCACACGGCCGGGGACAGCAGAAAGAGGACAGCCCCGAGGTGTGGGGAGAACTAGGTAATACGGGGCTGTACCGGGAGCTTGGGGAATGGGTCAGACTAATCCTACTGACTTTGAAGGAAAGAAGATACTCAGAAGGTCAAGAGAGCAATGACCAGATCTCCCAAGTTGAGTTGGGGTGACTTCACCTCTCCTCCCTCCCACGCCTTGACCTCCCAGGGCCACATGCCTGGGTGGAGTCCCGGAAACCAGGTTCAGAATGGGCATCAGCACGGCTGGGTCTGGCCCTTCTTCCCACGTTCTCCTCTCTTTTTCCTCACAAACTTGCCCTTGTGGGGAGTCTGTGTGGAATAGGCTCCTCTGGCGTGGAGTCTTCATGGCTGGGACCCTCTTGAAGAGTTCCCCTGAAACCTAGATGTAGGAAAAGCGGAAAGGCTGGGGCCGTGCATCCGAGGTCGACGGCAGGCTGCCCAACACTCAGCATAACTCAGGAAACATGGGCTCGAGTTTAGTATCGGGGAAACCACGGGTTACCTCTTTTTTCTTTCTATTTTATTTATTTGTTTATTTTACATATACATGTATCTATTCTTTTTCAAATTCTTTTCCCAATTAGGTTGTTAATAATATCGAGCAGAGTTCCCTGTGCTATACAGTAGGTCCCTGTTGGACGGACCTAGGGCTACCTTTTAATAGGTGTAGCCTCCTGTCTGTGCACCCAAACTCAGACCATCGTATTGAATTGACCTGAAAATTGTTTCATTTAATCACTACTCTGGCAGCAGAGTTGTACTCTAGCTTCCAGAGAGAATCGCCAGCCTTATTCTAAACACAGATTCATCACACAGAATTTTCCAGGCTTTGTGATGGAGGGCAGAATCCACCTTCACGCTGGTCGCTCTATAATTAAGTTTTCCCACCTATCGGAGCAGAAACTCTGAAAAGGCTTTCTGCAGAGTTTAGGACTCTATTCTAACTTGACTCGTTGGGAAAGCAGTATCAGGAGTTATGACTTCCTGTCCGTTTGATCTCATTGTCTGAGTCTATATTCTAAAGGTGCCAATGTACGTTTACTCTGAGTGGTTAGATGCCCTGGAAACGCTTCACTGAGCATCTCCATGAACCCGTGTTAATTATTTACTAGTCTTAATAGGTTCCTCTTTAACAGTTTACTTGTTAGAGGTCATTGTCAACTAGGAGCCCCTGGATCTGGGTTCCCACAGAGCTCACCTGGGAAGAAGGAATCACGAAAGCCTTGCCAACTGTTCGCAAGGCCTCTGGCATCACCTAGTTTGTCTGGTCACTGAATGGACAGCAGAATGTCCTCATGTCTTCTCCAGCCACAGAGGAAACTTGACCCTCATTTCTTCACGGCAGCAGCTCACCAAGTCTTCTCATGGTGGGTCATCCAGCCGGATGCACCCCACTGTACATAGTAGCCAGGAGGCCTGAGCACTGCCCCCAAGTGAAAGAAAAGAAAACACGCTAGAACTTGAACAAGCAGCATTGCACACAACTCACAAGTATGACACTGGACATTTTGCTAGAACTTTCTCTCCCAATAGTCCTTCCTCCTCCCAGCAGTCCTGGGAGAGAAACAGTGCCGCCCTTGGAGGCCGAGTGCACATGCTCCCTGGTAAGAGTGGTGATGCACACACCCTCTGTGCCCAGGCCAACACTGGGGACATCTCCTTCCCCTGGACAGCATGGCTGCCTCTTCCTTTAGCACTGACCTTCTGGCTGACCTTTGTTGACCTCAGGGACAGTACACACTCCTCTGCCTTAGAAAGTCTCCTTCGGTGTTTTTGAAGGTGATTAATGTCCATAGAACTCTGAACACACACAACCGCCTGTTAATGAAAAGCAGAAATGGGAGAGAGGATGTGGTCTTCTCCGTCCTGAGTGAGTCAAGCTCTGGGCCGGGTGCCTCATCCTGAGTCACTGGGCCGCTTCCTGCTGCTTCCTCATCAGCTATGGGTCCTGGAAAACACATTGATGGTTTCCTTTCCTAAGCTCAGCAGACAGTCTAGCTCAGCTCTTCACCGTTTAGTAGAAAAGAATTCAATGTTTGTCGAATGAATCCAGTATATAAAATTTCTCTTTTTATAGATGATCTGGCAAATAGTAAGATCTCTTTAGGAGAAGGTGAAATGAGAATTGTTGTAACGTGCTTTGCTGATCCTGTGTTCTTTTGAGCTTCAGCCAACAAAGTAGCTAAGTAGATGCTGCTGGTAAACGTGTTAACACCCTTGCTATAGGTCCGCTGATCGTCCTCGGATGTCTCCACACTGACAAGGCACCTTCCTGCTCCTCCTGTCTCCTTGCAGAAATCAAATTAATCTACTATTAGAGGCACCACACCACAACTCTCATGGGCCCTTTGCCTTTGTAGGTCCCCCCCCCCATTCTGATAGAATTTTTGTGGGCCCAGTTATGGGCTGAAGTGTATGGCCCACCCCCAGCCCCACAAATTCACCTGTTGGAGTCTAACCCCCAGGACCTCAGAATGTGACTGTTTTTGGAGATAGAGCTTTTAATGAAGTAATTAAGATAAAATGAGGCCACGAGGATGTCCCTAATCCTATCTGACTGGAGTCCTTATAAGAAATGATTAGGACACACAGAGACATCAGGGGTGAGCTCACAGAGGAAAGACCATGTGAAGAGGCAGCGAGAAGACGGCCGTCTACAAGCCAAGGAGAGAGGCCTCAGAGAAACCAATCCTGCTGACACCTTGATCTTGGACTTGCAGCCTCAGAACTGTGAGGAAATAAAGGTCTGTTGGGTAAGCCACCTAGACTATAGCACTTTGTTATGACATTCCAGGCAAACTAATCCAGGCCCTAAAAAATTTCATTTATTTCTGATGTGACAAAAAAACTTAAAACGTCTTTGACCCTAAACGTTTATCTTTTTCTGGTTTTAAAAGAAATTGGAACATTTCTGTGGGCCCCTTGAAGTATGGTGGGCTTTGAGCACAGTGCCCCTCGTACCTGTTGGAGAAGTCAGCCCCACCATCACTGAGAGCACCTGGACCATTTTGCACTGAAACCGGTTTTCCCACTGATGCTGGTTTCCATCCCTGTATTCCACCCAGGGTGCCCGGCACAGCAGCTCTCATTTCATTATGACCCAAAGCCAGACCGCTGGGATAAACAAGTTTTTCCATTTTGTAATCCAGCCTCCTCCGAGACCCTTTGAGGGGTGAGGCAATTTAGAAATACTTTGATAAATGCCGATTTAATAATCAGCAAGGGGGCCTCAGACAATGGTTCATAGTCAGAACAATGTCGCCTCCAGGTGACTGTGCCCCAGCAGTGGGCAAAATCTCTCAGTCCCCTTTAAACTCATTGATGCATTTGAAATCCAAGTAAGATTCCAGAGGTGGAAAGGACTCGTAAGAGGTCACAGAGACTGTTTCACTTAGCACGAAGCAATTATACAAATTTTATGTGTGACTTTGATGAGACAGAGGGGTTATTCTTTAGATCAAGAAGCACTTGAGCTCTCTTTATTACCTTGCCATTGCCCCCCAGTTCGGCAGGGCTTGGACAGGGCTGGGGCCAAAAGCAAGAGGATTCTGCGGGGAAATGTGGGCCCATCCAGTGTAGAAGGGGGCTGGACATGTCAGCGGGGGGAGGCATCTACAAGAACACAGAGACATGAAAGAGGCTGGCATACTCAAGGCAGGCAAGTGGGTGGGACCGAGTCAGGGATGCAAAAGGAGAAGAGAGGACCTAAAGGCAGAAGGGGCTAGATTGGTCCTGGGGGGCTCTTAAGCATCCCATGGGGCTGAGCTTCACAGAGCCCATTCCCAGGAGATCCTGATGTTTCCAGAACAGGAGATGTGAAGCTGTGTGTAGTGGACTGAATAATAACCACCCCCCCCAAAAGATGTCCATGGCCTGATCCCCCAAATCTGTAACTATGGGACCTTAAATGACAAAAAGGGAATTTGCAGATGTGATTAAGACAAAGGTTTTGAGATGAAGGGATTAACCTGGATTATTGGGTGGGATCAAGACTCAGAGGAGGAGATGTGAAAAACAGAGGCAAAGATAAGAGAGCGAGAGAGAGAGCGAGAGCGAGAGCGAGAGCGAGAGCGAGAGCGAGAGAGAGAGAGAGAGAGAGAGAGAGAGAGGGAGAGAGAGAGAGAGAGAGAGAGAGAGAACTGGAAAGGCAAGAAAGCAGAGCCTCTTCTAGAGCGTCCAGAAGGAGCACAGTCCTGCTGCCCTGTTTTAGGGTGGCCCTCCAGAGCTGTAGTGCAATGTTTGTGGGGTTTTTTTAAGGCCACTCAGTTTGTGGTCATTTGTGACAGCAGCCATAGGAAACTAATACATGTGTAAGAAATGGCATCTCATCCAACCCTGAGCAGGCACAGCTGTCTCCTCTGGAGATACGATCATTCTGCCCAAGGGTCCCCAAGACCAGCCAGCCCACAGCCAAATCACTGTGCTCCTAGTTTTTCATCTTCAACAGGAATCTTAGTAGTAAGTTGGGAAAGGCTGTCTCAGGGGCTGCTAGCCCCATACAATTTTAAACCAGAAGTCCACTACTGCAACTTGATAGACTTTTAATAATATTCAAAACAAGGGTAGTTGCCATGGCAAATACCATAAATATCGCTTCAGCAACTCAGAGATGCTATTGCTTAAATAATTAATTGAGGTGCTGGCTGTTTTCGCTGCCCTGTGGGTAAACACTGGCTGTATGTGATCTTTTTTTAAGACAATTGACTCTAGATGTTTACTTCTGTCCCTTTTAAATATAATATCCAATGCTTCCAAGGAAATGCTTTTAGTCGTAAGTGAGTTCTGTATTCTTCACTTAAGTAATTCATGTGGCCCCAGAGTCCCTGGGGAGAAGTTAAAAGCTGACAGTCTTCAGCTCGGTTCATAGAAGGAATTTCTATGAATTAGATTTGGGGAAGGGAAGCCACAGACTGGACTGTTCTGTGGATTAAGCAGGATGGTGTGAGATACTGACAAGATCTTTCCTTGCCCTCAGAAGGTACTCGAGAATGAAACGCTTGCCACGAAGATGACACACCTCTCCGGGTTTCACCTCTCCAGGGCCACCATCAGAGAGGAGCCGATGTGCACCATGAAACTCTCTGCTGTCCCCATGGAAAGAGAGGCCACACTGGTCAGAGGCTCCTGCCATTGAGACCGGGGCCGGGAGAGTCAAGGTTGATTGCCTTTTGTGCAGAAAACGCTGTTGCTGAAGAGCCAAAGCCATACTTTCCTCCTCATCTCTCCCTGGGACCTTCCCCTTAAACTGCCTTTCCTTTGAGAGCCAGGGTAGCATCACTAAAGTTCACCAAGAATGGTGAACAGCAGCATGTCTATACTCGAAATTCAAGAAAGAAAAGGGTTGCCTGTTCTTGGCCATAGTAACCACCACAGTCAGTTTTTAATTTTTTAATGGAAGTATAGTTGATTTACAATATTTCAGGCATACAGCAAAGTGATTCAGTTACATGTGTGTGTGTGTGTGTGTGTGTGTGTGTATTCTTTTTCAGATTCTTTTCCATTATAGGGTATTATAAGACATTGAATATAGTTCCCTGTGCTATGCAGTAGGTCCTTGTTGCTTATCTGTTTTATATACAGCAGTGTGTATCTGTTAATCTCAAATTCCTAATTTATCCCTCCCCTCGCTTCCCCCTTTGGTAACCATAAGTTTGTTTTCTATGTCTGTGGGTCGATTTCTGTGTTGTAAATAAGTTCATTTGTATCATAGTTTTAGATTCCACATATAAGTGATATCACATGATATTTGTCTTTCTCTGTCTGGCTTACTTCACTTAGTATGATAATCTCTAGGTCCATCCGTGTTGCTGCAAATGACATTATTTCATTCCTTTTTATGGTTGAGTAGTATTCCATTGCATATATGCACCACATCTTCTTTATCCGTTTAATGGACATTTAGGTTGTTTCCACGTCTTGGCTATGGTAAATAGTGCTGCTAGGGACATTGGGGGGGCATGTGTCTTTTCGTATTAGAGTGTTCTCCGGATATATGCCCAGGAGTGGGATTGCTGGATCATCTGGTAACTCTATTTTTAGTTTTTAAAGGAACCTCCACAGTCAGTTTTTAAACTTGTCTCCAGCGGTGAAAAACATCTTCCTCCCATCGGTGGGTACACTTTAAGAACCAGTCAATCAGTAACAGCTAAATCCCAGTCAGTAACCACTGTTCCACACTTAAAGGACAACTATTCCTTTGAAGAAAGTCCTTCAATCCCCGAATCCATGCTTCTCAAATCCTATATAAGATCAGCAGCTTGCTTTTTTACAGACTCATGGGTCCAACAAGCATATCTCTCCCTTTCTTAGAGAGCAATGCTCTTAGCTTTGGTTTCAGATATCTACAGTAGAGGTTGCCTCTTGCTTGAAAGTAGCTGAACCACTAACACCACAAAGTCAGCGGTATGCTGGTATATTTTTAACAACCAGCTCTCCAGATGGAAAAAAAAAGTTCTGATGTGTGGCTTTTGCCAATTCCCATGGTATAAATACTCCCACCAAGGCTATTTCAAGATGCCAAGGCAACATCGATCTGCTCACAGAATTCCCGAAAATTTAATAATCGGCTCTTATGAGGCGGTTCTTGCCATCTCCATCATACCACTGACTTAGTGCTGGGGATGGAAAGGCTCCATCATTGTCCAGTGGTAGAGTGGGTATCACGGAAGGTGGATGGGCTTAAGCTACACTGTTGGCAGCATCTAAGAGGACTGCCTACTTGGCAAGAGAGCCCAGAAGCAGGAGGTCAGCAGATGGACCACAGTGGTGGGAGCTGAGGGGTAGATGAGGCTATC